CTCACGTGTCCCCCACGACCCTGTCATGGGGGTACCCTAGGCTAGAGTTGGGCCACCGCCAAACACTGGGGGTACCCTAGGCTAGAGTTGGGCCACCGCCAAACACCACCTTCAAGGAATGCGGCCTGTTTTCCGGTTTTAATCACCAGCACAGCAACACAAAACCCAGCTGCTACTTCCTGCCCCAAAGCAGCTTTGTGAGCGACTTTTGGGACCGCGCAGGTGCGCACACCTCCGTGAGCTGTCCTGGGCGCCAGCCCTTCTGTGCGTGATATTCCAATAGGCAGGCACACGCAGGTGCGGAGGGGCTTGGGGAAGGTGCTCTTGGGGCTCTGTGCCAGTGTAAGGGTGGGGGCTCCCTGTTGGGGGTTTGCTCGCGGAAGAGGAGTATCCTCCGGGAACTCAGGAGGAAGCGCTGGCCAGGCAGGACACACCACATGGTGACACACGGCGCTGACCCCCCGCCCGGCGGCCCACGCTCCCACTACACGCAGCGTCCCCCATCCTGCCACACGTGCTGAAGCTCGGCCTCCACGGCATCCCTCCCATCTGCCGGCCCCCCTCCGGGTCAGAGAGCCAGGCTGCCGAGGAAGGCGCCGCGCCCATGGACCCACCTTGTTCATGTGCAGCTGCTGCTGGAAGTGCTGCTTGTGCTTCTCCAGGAACTGCTGGTGCTGCTGCTGGATCACCAGGTGCTGCAGGGCCGGCGCGTTCTGGGGCAGTGGGGCCGACTGGGTGCGCCCCAGCGGGCGGTGCTGCCTCAGCTTGTGCATGGACGGGGACACGCGGTCCGCGCCCACCAGAGGCTGCGCGTGCAGGGGCAGCGCGCCCAGGCCTGAAAGACACCAGTCTGAAGGTAATACGGAGGGAGGGGCAGCGGAGCAAAGGGGGGGAACCCCCAGGAGCTGCCCCGTCCCCCCACCCCGCCCCAGAGCCCCCGGGCCATGCCGCTGTGAGCCCTGAGCGCCAGCTTCACCAAGCAGAGGCCGCCGTCTGGAGGTGGCTGTCCCCTGACACCCAGGCCCCTGCTGTAAGCGGGCGTTCCGAGTGACAGGCTCCAGAGTGGCTGGCCCGGCCACGAGTGGCCCATGACACCCCTCAGAGGGCCCCGGGCCCTGGAAAGGCTTGTTTTGGTCTGAGCAGCACCGCAGGCAGCCGGAGCGGCTTGGGCCACGCTCAGAACGGCGGCGGGGGTCCTGGTGGCCCAGCATGTTCCGGAAGGCCGTGGAGATGGCTCTTCCCTAAGTGACCCGGAAACTAAGTTGTGAGGCAATGAAACATCCTTAGGCTCAAATCTTTAAGGGTCTCTTCAAGTGGTGACTTCACGCACGAAGGGGACGCTAACGCTTGTACAAATCCTGATGCAGACGGCCAGGATCTGCACGTGTCCCCGGAGGTTCTGCTGCCTGCATGTCCCCAGCGGCACGGGGGGCTGCTTCGCCAACCCGCACCTCGACTGGGCGCTTAAGAACCCGAGCGGACACATGATCCTGGTTTAGTCTGCACTTGAATCTTATTTTAAAATGCAGCCTCATCAGGGGACTCAGGATGCCAAACACTTTTCCTTTGTAAGCTTTTCATACGGCTGTAGTTTCACTTCTGTAAACTGGGAGTTTAGGCAGTTTCTCTAGTAAACCCTTGCCTCACTGCCTGGCTGCTGCCCTAGCAGCCTCAGGTGATGAACACGAGCCAACCAGGCTCAGGCTGCGGACGCCCCGGGTCACGGGTGTCTGCCTGGCAGGAACCGCGCATGACCGAGCACAGCAGCGGCCGGGCTCCCCGAGAGCTGCTCCGCAGACCCCCGAGGAGCCCTGCAGTCTTAGTCTCCCCTTGTCCCTTCGTGGCTGTGGCGATTGCTCGACTTCCTACGCACCCAACCCTCACAAAACTGTCCCTCACTAGCTTTTCGAGAAGTCTGTCAACTCTGTCCCCTAAACCACCACCACCTTCTGTTCAGCCCGCTGTTTTCTGAAAAGAGAAGTAACCTTAAATTTCATTATCTGCTCAGCTACTAAAGTTAGTAACACAAAAGATCGACTCATTCCCTATCAAGTTTTCTAGAAAAGTTAAAAAATAAAAGCACCCCCCCCAAGAAGGTGTTTTGGAATTCTTCCCGTTGATCAAGGTGTCATGAGGATTAACATGCGGAAGTCCGCCACACAAAGCTGCATTTATGGGAACAGAGGGGACGCAGTCCCGAGAAGGTGCCCCTCGGACACGAGAAGCTAACACGCGGCTTCCTGAGTAGATGATCCTTGGGCCTCCTGGGCACCGGGAAGGAAGGTGAAGTATGCGAGGGAGCAGCAGAGCCACGCAGGGTTACTGGGCGGCCAGCCCCATGTTCCAGAGAAGCTTCTCCGGGCTCCAGGGAAGGAACCCAATTCCACGGAGACGGAGCTTCCAGGGCTGGTCACGGAGCAGGAATGTGCTCCAGCAGCGCAACGTGAATGCGAGCCTGGTCTCTGCGGGTGCTCTCTGCCCTCCCCTGCGAGGAAAGGCTCCCCAGAGCAGGGGCGCTGCCTTCACACGGGCTGGCCTGAGGACACAGGCCACTGTGTCTGTTCTGGTCCACCCCACCCACCCCAAGTTCCACTACGGGCCTCCTGGGGGGTAAAGCTCCGGGGCTGTCCCTGTCGGCCCAACCTTCGAGTGGCAAGCCTTCCTGGCCAGCTGACTTCCAACTGGTCCCTCAGGTCATTAATAAGGGTTTCTGATGACCATTATTTGGCCTTTGGTATATACTGTAAAAGACTTATCAGCATAAACCCACACCACACGGAGGTCCAGTTCTGTTCTAGGTGTGACCCAGCTGTCGGCAGAGGCCTGCTGCATCCCACTGGGTGCAATGCCGGGGCAGAGCCTGACCTGCGGCTCCTGGACCCTGCTCTGGGTAGGGAGGCCAGGCTGCCTGGGGCCTCTTTCCCTGAGCACCTGCCAGCTGCGAGGCTAACCTGAGGCTCCATTCTCCTTTCTTCCTGCCCACAGCACTGGCAGAAGTCCCTCTGCGGTCCAGCAAATGGACAACCGACCCCAGTACTGAGAGAGGACTCAACCAGCGTTACAGACCTTTGTTCCTTCCAGCAGGACTGGGGGGTGGGCCAGTGTCCCCGAAGTCCGAGCTGGACCTTGTGATCATAAGGACAATGGTAACTCCTGGCATTTAGCCAGTCATCTGGGCTTCAAGATGTGCTATACACAGCACCAACGGGTGAGTTTGCAAACAAACCCCACCAATTATGGGGATTGAAGAGGCAAAGAAGGTGAAGAGTCAGGCTGCCCTGACGTTCTGGACCCAGGTCTGAAGGGCCGGCCTGTGCACTATGGGGTTCTGGTTAAGTAGATGAATTCATTCACACTGGGTGACCGACTCATGTGGCTTGGGTCCTTAGAAATCCATCTGATGTATTCCACTACCCTACGCACCATGGTGAAACTCTTTAAAACCCTTCAAAAGACAGTAAGTCAGGCAAGACTTGGGTCTAACTAGTGGCTTGCAATTCTGGCTGCACATGAGCATAGCCTGAGCACTGCAAGAAAAACCATGGGTGGCAGGGGCCTGCCTGGACCGGTCAGCTTCACCAGAGCTTCTGGGGGCCTGGACAGGGCCGAGAATCACTGCTTAGGTCATAGGGGCAGCAGCACCCACGGCCACTCATGCTCAAGTCTCTCCTGGGACTCGGTTTTCAGGACAAATGAGGAACAAAGGGGAGCATGTAATCACTGCTTCAGAGACCCGCAGAGCCCCCATGCTCAGAAGTGCAACCATGGACCAAGGTTGCCTGTCTGTCCCCTTACCCCCCTCACCAGGCTGGAGCAGGCCCTGCAAGTGACCAGAAGGCTAGAGAGACACCACATCCTCCAGATGCCATACCTGTTCCCCCTACTGGCCTTTCTGCCCCTCCTCCCCTGAGACTCCCACCCAAGGTCTCAGCAACCACACCACTTCTCCAGGAAGCCTTCCCTGATGTCCACCCTGCTGCACAGCCTGAGTGCCCAGCCCCAACCACACAGCTCTTAGGGGCCTCGGGGGTCCGTCTCCCTAGGGCCTGGCATGGAGGAGATGCTGGGCTGAATGTTCTGCCCCCTGGCCACACAAGCACAGCACTGGGTGGGCTGTCTGGACAACAGGGGCGCACAGTGCACTGCAAGTAGGGGCTTCCTCCTTGAAATGGTGGTTCCATCTCCCCCCCTGCCTTGGGAAACCCCGGAGTGTACCAGGGTGCACTGTCTTCTCAGGAGAAGATTGGAGTGCACAGCTTCTGCCTGTCGAGTGCCTCACTGGGGCAGCGGGAAACAAGGAGGCAAGGGCCACGTGGAGGTGGGGCATCCCACGGCCCCGAGACCCGCACCTTGTCACCCTTCTAGACCCGGGCCAGCCTCTTCTCCCCCGGGGCCTCTATTTCCAGCGCTTATGTGATGAAGCTGTTCTAGCTCGGGCCTTCCGTCTGTCCGTCCATCGTGATTATCTGCAAGCACTCATGGAAACACAGGTCTGCTGGCTGGTGAACCTCAGAAATCCCGACTTCCCCTCCCTTTGACCCCAGAGCTTTTTGCCGCAGGCCTTCTGCACATTGAGCCTGTGCGGGCGCCGGGAGCAGGCTGGCCACGCCATGGAAGCGCAGTGCTTGCCCTCCAGGAGAGGAGGTGAGCAGGAGGTGGAGCATCACCGAAGCTACGTGGGCAGAACTCACGGGAGGGAAGGCCATGCCCGACGGGAGCAGGGATGGGGACTGGGGCACAGCCGGCATGGGAGCCAGGCCAGTGGGGGAGAAGGGCGGCCCCGGCTGGCGAAGCATGAGGCAGCACAGCCGCGAGCCACGCAGGGAGGAGGCAGCCTGCTCCCGGGCCTGTGAGCGCCAGGCCTTCGGTCCTGGCCAGCAATGCCCAACAGGCCCCTCTTTGCTGACACAGACCCTCCACATTCACATGGCTCAACCGCTGCCAGTCACACAGGCACCCACTAAGCCCCCTGTGGGACTGAGAAACCGAATGTTTACTTCATTTTTGGCCCTGACTTTTGATTTTCAACTTCAGTGGCCAGGTGGGGCCAGTGCTCCTGCACAGGGGGGCTCTGCTTGGGGCCTGGAGGGGCAGGAAGCCAGGTCAGGAGGCGTGCTCCCACCAAGACCCGAATCAGGGCCCTGTTCACAGGGAGGGGTGGGGAAGGGGCCATGAGACCTGGGACAGACCGATGGGGTGGCCTGCGGAGGTGAGGGAGACAGCAAGGTTGAAGGTTAAAAGTTCTAAACCCAAAAGTAACCAACCACCACAACACAACAACTAACAGCTAAGGGCGCATGGGATCAGATGCTGTCCTGCGTGAATACACGCCTCACTGAACCCTCATAAAACTCAAAGGGCAGATTACTTGTGTTATCCCCACTTCACATATGGGGAAACTAAGTCAAGGCACCAGGGAAGACGTCCCAAGGTCACTGAGCTGGGACCAAGGGGAGGTGAAGGTGTCTGTGTTCTTGGCCACGGCCCTGCCTCCAGCGCCCCCAGCTGGGGTGCCCGTGAACTGGGAGGCGGCCTGTGGATTGTGGGGCAGGGTGGGGGGAGCCGGCCGGCGCCTGGACAGTCGTGCCCGGGCCTCACCGCCACAGGTGGGCCGTCGGCAGCTGCTGTCACGGCCACGGCATGAGCTGCACACAGAGGACAGACCCAGCCACGTGGTCGACCACGGAGTCAAGTTCAGCAAACTTACTGGAGACGCGAGGTCCTGGAAGGTCCTATTTCCTGGGAAGCTGCGGGGTGGGGTGTTAGGAATGCTTTTTAACGGTGGGGGCCGAGCAGGGGACCAGGGTCAGGAAGACGGCTGGGTGTCGCTGACGTGTTACTAAATGACACAAGACGGAAATTCAGGCGTCGCTCACTGCTCTGGCCCCCGACGTTGAGCATCACAGGGACGCAGATGCAACTTCAGGTAAAACTCTCGAGACCTCTGTGCTCACAACCTATTGTCTGGAAGTCGGGGAGATGCGTGGCAAGGTGTCTGCTCCCTGGCACGCTGTAGACCCCTCAACTCTGAGGATGGTGACCCCAACACCAGCATCGGGGGAAGCAGACAGACACACAGACACGAAGGAGCACTAGTGGAAGATGGAGCTCGCCATCTGCAGACACACGGGAGGGTGGGATGCGGTCCCCTGCACCCAGACCAGTCCCGTGACTCTCAACAAGGCCACCAGACCGGGCTGTGTGCCCACAGGTTGGGACCTTGTGACCGGCTCAGCACCTGCTCTTTCCACCCAAGTGTCAGGGAGTGTGAAAGGGGGTATCTTCGATTCTAATTCTGAACAAGTAATCAGGTTTCCAGGAAGCCAAGCAAGGAAGCCGGGGATCATGTGGACATGAAAGACACCCATGCAGCTGGACACCTGCTCGTTTTCTAGCAAATCCACACGTTCTTCACTCCTGAAGCTAACAGGGCTGTTGCCATGCAAATCTCTGACAAATGTCCTATTTTTTCCCCTAAATATAACCATCCCTTAGAGCACATTAAAAATTCTTACTGCTAATAGAAATGGACTATCTATGGGAGTCACTGCGGGGTTTTCTCACACGTTCAAGTGCATCCAGAGGCAAATGCAGATGGGAACAGCCACCCTTCTGGAGAGGTTACACAGAAGGTGCACCTGACGCCTAGTTTTACTCCATCTACCTCGTTGGCAAGCGAGAAATGGCTTACCAAATCATAGGCCCTCACGCGGCAGGGGTCGCGGGCAGGAATTACGGGGTGGAAACAGGCCTCCCCGCGGGGCCCCGAGCCCCCCATGCTCACCTGTGACCAGGGGTGTCTGTGCGGGTGGTTGCTCCAGGAGGACCATGTGCTGCAGGAGGGGGTTGTGCGCAGCCCCGCCATCACGCTCCAGGGGCGCCGTGCTCAGGTAGGGAGTGAGGTGGGTGCCGGGGAAGAGGGAGATCCGCTGCTGGAGGGCCGGGAGAGCCAGTCTCTCAGCTTCCTGCTGGCCAGCCGTCCCCTGGAGAGGCACAACTGTGATGCCTGGGCCGAAGGCCTGGGACAGCCGCCCCCCCACCCACGCACACCCGCGGACGCCTACTCACAGCAGACGGCCCGGTGGCAGGCAGCCCCAGCGTGATGTTGGGCAAGGATGGTGACGTGTAGAGGGGGAGTGGGGCCACGGAGCCTTCTCGAGTCACGAGTCTGTGGGCCAAGCCAGTCTGGAGACAGAACACACAAAGGCCGTCACACACGGTCTGTCCCCGACAAGCGTGGGCAGCGCACGCCACGAGAAATCACAACAGAAAACGCGTGGGGCGGGCCCTGCTGAACTCCGAGACACTGCAGCACATGTACGTTAACCTGTTACATCCTGCAGGCGGGCGTGACATCTTAGAGCAGGCTCTCGTTTATTTTTATTCAGAGTGCTAATTCATTGTAAAACTATCAAGAAAATCTAAGGTAATGTATTGTAAAATATACTCTTGGTTGGGAAGGTCTTTTCGAATATAACATCAGGGCAGAAACCAAAGAAAATATTGATTAAAAAAATCCCTCACAGAAAAGGCAAATAACAGACGCAGCAATGCTGGCCATGTGGGCAGGGAAAGCTGAATATGTGAAGAGCTCACAAATCAAATAATTAACAACGAGAAAATCGTATGGAAAGGCAAATGACAACTGATATTAAGGGAGAATAAATTCATGAAAAAATACTCAACATCATCAGTAATCTAAAAATATATTTAAAACCCAATCAAGCTGGCAAAGATTTTTACAACTGAGAATACTCTCTTGGCCCCGAGGAACAGAAGCATACTGCCGGGTGTGTTATAAGTTGGTGTGCTCTTTCTGCAGGAAAACTTGGCAATCATGTCAAAAGCCTTAAAAATGTATCTAACTTGTGATCGTACAACTCCACTCTGAGGATGGACTCCTATGAAATGATGCTGGTCCAGGAATGGTCCCAGGAAGGTCACGGCCGAGACGACCACACAGGCAGAGGGTTGTGTGTCCCACAGTGCGGCCAGGGTTGAACAGACAAAGGAACACGGGGCCCTCAGGAGGTGGGGGAAACCTTCCTGATTGGCTGGAGTCTCAATGATATGTTGTTAAGTTAAAAAACAAAGTTGTAGAGTTGTACACTTTTTCAAGAGCAGACAGACAAGGAGGACTCTGGGACAGAAAGACAGTCACTAGAGGCTGGCGGGAGCACGCTCCGGGGCTAAATTACTGTGTCCTCTTCTTGCTTCTACAATGGTATTCTTTGCTACAAAGGCCACTGTTTTATTCACCCCAACATCACCCCAGAGTAGATACTCAGTCACCATGCTGAGCCGAGGGGCAGAGGGACCGAGCACAGGGCGTTGCCACACGCCGGCTGGGAGGGCCTGCGTAACGGCAAGTCACAGGACTGACAGACACCCGACCAATCTTCTCTTAGAGCCTATCGCACTGCGGTCCGCAACTAAGAGGAGAAACACTCCAGTGCCTTCAAATTTCAGATCCAAGGAGAAAACCATGAGCTGAAAGTTATCATCAAGTTGCTGTAGACAACAGGGGTGGACCGACTGCTGGCCTGGCTCGAAAACGGCTCTTCATCCCGTTGGAGGTCGGAGGAAGCTCGGGCTCCCCTCAGAGACGCTGCGGGCCTGGTTTCACAACAGCACACTGACGCCAGTCCAGTTTCGCAGTGCACACAAAAGTTTCGTATACACGATACTCCAGTCTGTTAATGTGATAGTAATGCAATAGCTTTAAGTCTTTTTAAAGGTATGCATTTAAAGAATACCTTATTGCTAAAAAATGCAAACCGTCATCTGAGCTCTCAGCGAGTTGTAGTCCTTTTGCTGGAGGAGGTTCTCGCCTTGATGTTCGTGGCCGCTGATGGATCGGGGTGGTGGCTGCTGACGGCCGGGGGGTCTGTGCAGGTTCCCAAAATAAGACAACAATTTGCCGCATCGATTGACTTCCTTTCACGATTTCTCTGTCGCATGTGAGGCTGTTTGATGGCATTTCACCTACAGGAGAACTTCCTGCTGCCGCTTTATCCCCTAAGCCTACGTAATGTCCAAAATCCTCTGTTGTCCCTTCGACGATCTTCACGGCATCGTCACCAGGACTAGATTCCGTCTCAGGAAACCGCTTTCTTTGTCCATCCATAGGAAGCAACTCCTCACCCCTCGCGTTTTATCACAAGATTGCAGCAATCCAGTGCCTTCTTCCGGCTCCACTTGTAATTCCAGTTCTCCTGCTGTTCCCAGCCCATCTGCAGTGGCTTCCTCCACTGAAATCTTAAAACTTCAATTTGTAAAAAAAAAAAAAGAAAAAAAGAAAAGACAACATCGTAATGTGTGGCAAAGGGACGCATGCCTGCAGCACCTCATGGCGTGTGTGGATCCTCCATACCTTGCAGGATTCCCGACGCTGCTGTTGAGTGCGGCCCTATTTCAGTGTCGTTTGGAAACACAATCTTTGTTTGGACGCTGTGAGGGAGGGTGTTCTTCATGCCGGGACATCCGGCTGTGTGCTGTCCTACACTTTGCTCACTGGGAAGCTGTGCAGGCCTGACCCAACAACCACCATGGAAAGTATTTTCCCTCGACAGAAGCACTTTTTGTCACAAGTAAAAGTAGTATCAACAAGCTACGCTTTAGAGAAAACGGTTGGGATTGCCAACGGAGGCATGGCCCTACTGGACTGTAATTATCCGGGAACAAAATAAGCAGACATCCTAATGTCTGCAAAGTTATAATTTCCTCTTTATAATCACTCTATTTTTTTTACCTAATTTATTTTTAGAAATAACAAAGCCTTCTGAGAATAACTGGGGATGCTGACTGCCCGCATGCACAGTGCTAGTGGTCTCCATCTGCCCTGTGCCGGGCTCATCACCTCCCGTGCTCTGCACAAACTCGGGGCTTGGCCGCGCACCGTGTCGCGCCGGTGTTCTGCGCGGGAGGGAGCTGTTGTCTCCGGGTCTGGGGAGCCTGCTTCCTCTGTGTGAAGGGGGCCATGGCCGGGCAGTGGAGACGGGGGGCTCAGGGCAGCGGAGACGGGGGGCTC